ATCTTTATTCGTCTTAATCAGCCACAGGCTCATAACAGTAACACACCAATTAAATCAAATTCAATAATGGTTATTGGAATTTCTTGAAATATAAACATTTTTTTTTTCGTTATTTTAGGTATCGGCAAAATATATTTGAATTTTTTAAAAAAAAAAAAACAAAAAAATTACCACCATTCGGTTTTAAAAATTATTAAAAAATTTTAGCCCACAAGATTTTACATAATGAACGTCTTAAAAATTGATGGAGAATTTTTTATAGTTTTATATCTATTCGGTAAAGAACTAAAAAGTTCTGCAATATAAAATCAGAATATCTTGAAAATTTTGCAAAATAATTCAATAAACCTCGAAAAAATAAACTTGGGGTTTTTTATTCGCTAGAATAATTTAATAAAACATTATTTTCTTTTCGTTTTAAATATTTTTAAAAAACATTTGAATTTTGATTTTTGAAAAAAAAAAATATCCGGTTGTTGAAATAAGATTTTTATTTTTATTGAATAAAGTTTTATTTGAAGAATCAGAAATATAAAGTTTAATTCCATTTTTATCATCAGAATTTAAAAAAATTTGGGCTTTCTTTTTATTTTTTTCTTTTGAAATGTCAAAGTTCAAATAAAAAAAAATAAAGTAGATTTGATTAAAAAATTTTATCATTTTTTTTATTTAATAAAGAAATGAAAAATAAAAACCTTTATTTATTTTAATTATAATATATATATAAAAAAAATAATTTTTTGAAAATAAAAAACCCAGTTTCAGTAATTTTATATTTTTTTGTTTCATTATTTAATAAAAAAAAAAAGATTATAATAATTAATAAAATTATTTTATTTTTAAAGATTTTTACTGTTTAAAAATTGTCTTCAAATGTATTTTAACTAACTTTTTTTTTTTTTTTTAAATTTTGTTAAAAATCTTTTTTTTTTTTAAATTTAAAATTTTTGATTTTTTACAATTTCTAAGACAGATTTGATTTTCAAGAATTTTTTTAAAATGTTATAAATTTTAATGTCATCAATTTTTTTAATTAAATTAGCAGATTTTTTGAAAATTAATCATGAAAATCTTTATATAAATTTTTTTTTTCTTATTGAATTATATCAAAATTAATTTTTTTTTTATTTTATAGATTAACTTTAAGCTATTACCAAAAAAAACTAAAAAAAAAGGAGATATTTAAAATAATTTAAATGATTTTTTGTTCAAAATAGAATTTTAACAAATGTGTTTGGTTTTGATGACGTTCAATTTATTTCGACAATAGACATTTGGAAGGCAGCATTATTGATTACTGATTATAGGTTCGGCCAAATCAGTGTCTTGTAAAGGTAAACCAATTCATTATTGCAGGGAAATCTATTTTGAACAGAATGCACAAATTTTTTATCCAATCCTTGTGCCAAATTCAAAGCTATAACTAGAAGTCGAATTTGTTTTTTATTTAAATATTTTTAAAATCTCCTCTGCATTATATGATGAAACGAAAAAATTGAGATATGTCTACTAGTTGAGGGAACTGAAACCTTCCTTAGCTATTCGTCTACATATTTCTTCTCTTTAAATATTGTTATTTAATTATATTTTAAAAGAAGAAAGTTTTTGCATTTCAAATACATAACATTTTTTCAGCACCCTACAAATCTTATGAACGGGGTTAAATTGAAATAACAATTATATATCTATTTCTTTTCAAAATATTATTTTTCAGCTGATATTTGTTTAACAGTAAATACCTTTTATATTTTAATAAAAAAATGTTATGAGCAAATTAAAAAATGTGTCGCATCCAATAAGACAAGCCTCATCAGATAATAATAATAAATTGCTAAACTAAAATATCTAAACAGCTATATATATTTTTTCTCTTTGTTTTCACGTTTTCTTTAAATTTTCTTTATTTTTTCTTTCTTTAAAATTTTACAATATTTTGTCTATCTCAGTCAATTCATTATTACTCTATCTATTCATCTTTCTATCTATCTATCTAATCATTCTATTTTATTTATCTATCTATCAGCAGCGATAGATAGCAACGAAAATGGTTCGATTTTAACGGGTGATGCAAAAGTTAATTGGGACTAGTGTTTAAATGTGTAGCGCTTAGTTTGATAAAATTAACGAGACATGCTAATTGATTATTTTCTTTTCAATCAAATTCCTCCTTTTTAAATTTTGATTATTGTCTTAGTGAACAATTTATTTTATATATATATATATTTATATATATAATATACCAGAGAGAGAGAGAGAGAAAAGAGAGAAAGTAAAGAGTTTTTTTTAAAGAAAGAGAAAGTGGAGATAAAAAAGAAGGTGGGTTAGAAAGAGAGAATAAAATATAGACAAAAAAAAGATGATAAGACATGCGAAGAAGAAAGAAAGAAAAAAAATAAAAAATTTAAAAGAAAGAAAAAATTAAAGAAAGAAAGAAAGAAAGAAAGAAAAGAAATTTTTCAATTGCTGAAGAATATATTTCAAAAAGGGTTAAAAAATATAAACAATAAACGGACTCCATGTGGTCGGTGGTATATGATTAAATTGGTGTCGCTTAATAAAAAAATATTTCTATATATAGCTTTTTATATATCCTATATAAACATTTTACACACACACACATAAACACATACACACATTATACACACATACACACACACACACACACACATACACATGTACAAACATTGACACAAAATATTATGACATACATACAAACATAAATTTCTGTAATTTTAAATACACAAATAAAAACATATACACACACACATTTTAACAACACACACACACACACACACACACACACAACACATATACACACACACACACATTTTACACACAAACACACACAACACACACACAATACACACATTAATATTATTAATACACACACATATACACATACATACACACACATACACATACACACACACAGATTACAAACACAACACACACATACACATACACATAATACACATACACACACACACACACACACACACACACACACACATATATACACACACACACAAACACACATACATATACACACACACACACATACACACACACACACACACACACACACATACACACACACACATGTTTTACACACACACACTTACAAACTGTTTTTCAACGTTTGAAACACACACGTAATTTTGTATTTTCTTGCACAGTTTTTGTACACACTGTACACGTGTACACGTGTACAATATACAAACGTACACGTGTTTTTAACAAACAGACGCACACGCGTACTTTTGTAAACAGTACACACTGACACACGAACAGACACACGCGTACACACAAACAGACGCACACGCGTACACACGAACAGACGCACACGCGTACACACGAACAGACGCACACGCGTACACACGAACAACCGCACACGCATACACACTCTCTCTCACTTATAACTACACAAGTAAAAACCTCTTCTCAACAGATGTATCCTCTGCTAGAATCGTCCCATCGAATAATTTAAATTCATTTCGTCTGGCACAAGGATAAACTAACAGAGCATCAAATAAGAAAAGGGTTGATTAAACTCTGCTAGGCAACACTCTAAAGTAAGCGCATTTTTTTTTTGCTTTTGTCTGGTTCCATAAGAATTGAATGTTGTCGTACTACGGCAGGCGCCTCTCTATTCGCATTTTCTTTATTCAAATTGTTGAATACTTTTTATCTGTCGCTAAGTTTTACTAAGCTTTTGAAATTCCTATTGTGAAATCCGCTTCTAGAATATTTTTGAAGCATAGGTTCCCGTAAAGTAAACAAAATGTCAAATCTCCCTTGTACATCAACACCTGAAAAAATAAATAAAAAACTATTCAACTATTTGTGGACTCTTGTCCCACGTACGCATGCGCCCCACGCATTAAAAAAAGGCTTCGTATCGCAGTTGGTACGTGTAGGCATTCTGTTAACTATCTTAACACAGAATAATGTATTTATAAAATATGAGTGGATGCCCCTACAAAGCAGACCACTTCAAAAAGAAAAAAGAAAAAGGGAATCGCACGTTCATGCCTCGGTGATATCTTAACGTAGCTTCCCTGTGCCTTTCTATAAATATTTTCATGACAGTTATTCTAGCGATTTCTCCTCCTTGGTACAAATTGTACATATAGGAACTAGTTAGGACTTCATAGAGACTCTGAGGTATTATGGTGACTGTAGTAAGAATGGTAAGAATGTATTGTTTTGGTGTAAGGAATACTGGGGTATGTTTGGGTCAGTAATTGTGGCTAGTTAAGTATAAGATAAGACAGACTGAAGACCAGCCTTCTTCTTCCCTCCTTTTTGGCCTTGTGCCACATTTTTTGTATTACGCAAAATAAATATTACTTTCCTCTATGCTACCTAGACTATGAATTTACGTGCAGTGCTAGATTGGCGGTAAGGTCTCATCACTTTTCAGTTGAAATGGCTAGATATAACCGTAAGTTCTATGCTAACAATTTCATCTCTCGCACTTCTGGCTTGTGGAACTCTCTTCCGGCTTCTTGCTTTCCAGTCAACTTTGATCTTCAAAAAATTAAACGCAGTGTCAATCGTTATCTTCTGTCTTCTTAATTCCTGGTCTTTTATTGTTCTCTCTCTCCTTAATGTTTTTTTCTTTTTCTCATATTCTCTCAAACACAGTATTCCACCCTTTGCGTCTTAGTGACTTTATTGCCTTACTTGGGGTGAAATGATATTGAGGTATTTATTGTTGCGTTTTCGGAATTCCTTTACTTTTTTTCCCATTCTCCAAAGATGATCCATTTCTTTCTCTTGGAGATCTCGATCCTTAATGTCCTATGTTATACTCACAGTATTCTTCTTGCATTGTTACGTCTTCGTCGGATGTTTCAGAATCCTCTTGGCACTTTTGATCATCCATAAGCCATCTCTTTATTTATCTCATTCTCGAGAATCATGTTTCGTTGTTGGTCTACAAGATCATAGATGGTGACTGCCTATGGAAAGCGCTTCGCCCTTCTCATAATCTGGGCTTACGGCCATATCACGTGGAAACACCGGTTCCCGTACGATCACCGAAGTTAAACAACGCCGAGCCTGGCCATGTACCTTGATGGATGACCGCTTGAGAATGCCAGGAGCTGTAAGCTTGGATATATGGGTGGTGTAATGGATAATGGCTCGGGAGTGTTCCAGTTGGGTACGTTACATTTACTTACGCGCAAATACCCTTGAGAAAGGTTTGAATCCACCTCTTCTTCTCCCAGCTATGGCTTAATTAGCAAGACTTGTATCACTAAATCATTATTATCGCTAAAAAAAAAAAAAAAAAATTACAATCTAAAACTATTTTCTGGCTTTAAATAACCGGAAAAGGATTGATAAGCAGTAGAAAACGAACCAATCAATCAAATACCGATTACCTACACAGGCATGTCTTTTAGATGTATTCTCTGGAATATAAATGTAGAGAAAGTTCCTTGGCCACAAAGTGAGGGATCAATTTTGATCAGTATTGGTTATAAGATAGAAATGACCCCCCAACTTTATATCCACATCATAATTTATTCTTAGTTTATCAAATCCTGATTAGGTATGAATCCACCTATATATAGATTAATTAGTACGACTTCACATTTTTTTTTAAAGCAAATCATCCCAAGCAAGGCGGGAGTGCCACTAGCATACAAGGGGTTTACAGAGAGTGAGAGTAAGAGTAAAGAGGAGTGTTTGGGGAAAAGAGGAGATTAAGAGTAAAGAGGAGTGTTTGGGGAAAGGATAAAGAGAAGGTCAGGGATCAAGATCAAGGCACCGGAAGATGTCGATTGATATTACATTTGAATATTTGAAGATTATAGCTCTCAGGGAAGCAAGTGATAGGAAAAGAGTTCCACTGACGGGAGGTGCGAGATAAGCTGTTTGAGTAGAAGTGATGGCGACATTTAGCCGTTTCGACAGTGAAAGGGTGTGACCAAGGTGCCAACCTAGTAGCACGCTTAAATTCATGCAATTTGCAAACCAGTGAAGGTAGCTCATCGGAGCAGTTGCCATGAAAATACTTGTAGAAAATACTACAGCACGTCTGTGAGAAAGTGACTGTAGACTGTAGATCAGGACCAATCACGTTGCTTATCCGTCTCTGGATTTTGTCGAAGACCTCGAGATGAACACTGAAAAACAATTTTACAATTTAAAAATATTTTCTGACTTTAAATAACTTGCAAAGTGTTGATAAACCGTAAAAAACGAATCAATCAAAATAAATCTTCATAATCTTCTCGAAGGCTTATTTGATCTACATAGACTAAAATGCTATTCCCACTTGTTGCCATAATGGCCGCGTTTTAGCGTCTGCATTATCAAATTGGCCCTTTCCAGATTTGACTTCTTATTCTTTTTATAACAAAATAAACTTCATTTGTTTCATGGAAGATCCAGTATATCATTTTTGTGAGTGCAGCTCTTAATTATCCGTAGTAAAGAAACCTTGAGTTTGAATATAAAACATACCATGTATTTTGTAATGGAGATGTGCAGGTCCATGAAGATTCAATCACATGATATTGTTAAAATAACACTTGGCACGCTTATAGATATTTAAAAAGCTTTTACACGTGTATTTACATAAGCGCCTGTTTAACTTTTCAGATAAATCATTTTTAAGTCGTTCTGTCATACCGAAAATAAAATTGAATTTAAGTACTGTAAAAATAGGATCAGGATATAAAAAAGTATAAACAAAGAATATGGCTTTTCATAAAGAATTATAATCTTTATTACAAATATACATATAATCTGTAAATCTGTTTACATGGATGACGTTGCAATTACTCACATGTAACTGAAAAGACTGGAGGATATTATTGTGACGCAGGGCCCAGTTATGAGCAATCGTTCCATTCGACTTAAGGCCGGATCTATCTATCTATCTATCTATCTATCTATCTATCTATCTATCTTAAATATTAAGTATGAAAAAAATACACTAGGGGAAGAAAATACTCATGATATAAAAGAAGGAAAGAAGAAAGCACGGAGAAAAGGCGAGACAGAAAAACATGTAAGAGGAAAAGGGAAAAAAAGAAAGAAAGAAAGATGTAATCTATTAATGTAAAAAGAAAGAAGGAAAGAAAGGACGCCAAAACAGAAAGAATCAATCTGAGAATAAAGGAAAAAAACAAAACAAAAAACAAAAAACAAAACAAATCACACCAAAAAGGTAGAAACATTTAATATAAAAAGAAAGAAAAGATGAAGAAACAAATAATGAAGAAAGAAAAAATGACGAAAGACATAAAAAAGAATCAATTTACATAACAAGAAAAAAAGAAAAACGGAACGTAAATGATATATATATATATATATATATATATATATATATATATATATATATATATATATATAGAGAGAGAGAGAGAGAGAGAGAGAGAGAGAGAGATAAAGGAAAAGACAGAGAAAGAGAGCATGGGTGACACAAAGAAAAAGTGTGAACGTAGATGAGGGCGTAAAGAGAGTGCGATTGGGAAAAAAAGCAAAATCCTAGAAAATAAAACGCTTTTAAAATAAACGAGAAAAAAAATGAACTTTTCCAGTAACTAATAGAAGTGTTTTATTGACTAATATGTCATACTATTTGTTTTGTTTTTAAGTCGAGCACTTTTTCCTCCCATCAAAAATGGAAAGCGTAATGGAAGTAGTCGCTTGCGTAAGACACCATTAATGGAAACAGATGTTCAGACCAGATGTGTAACGCGCGTGCGCCTTTGTCTGCAGTAAGTATGATTATTAGGAGTTGGGGTTAGTTCTTTTTAATAATGCTTAGTAAATTTAATATTTTTTTTTTATAATTGTAGAAAATTAATCTAATATTACTAAATATAAAAACCTCACCACCAATCCCCATTACTACCCTCAACCCTTTCAAGTGAGATTCCATTCGAATTAAAGCTTTTATTTGTATCCACGACTTACCCAACCGTCTGATTGGACTAATGTGTTGTTTTTTTTGTAAATAAGTATTCTTTTTTATTTTTTTGAAAACTTTATCTCACTGTTCTATAAAACAAATCCTGAAAGGCAATAAGTTGTGTTTATATATTCAATTTGTGTTCCATCTTTTCTTATATATTATTGTAAATATTTTTATAAATTACCTATCTTCTCCACTTTTATCAACAAAATAACTAAGACATCGATAGAAAGAAAGTCAAAGAGAAGAAGGGAGGGGCGGAGAAGAAGAAGAAGAAGAAGAAGAAGAAGAAGAAGAAGAAGAAGAAGAAGAAGAAGAAGAAGAAGACAGGGTAAGATGTAGAGAAAGAGGAATTAACTTAAGCAAGCACATATACACTGAGTAACGACTGGCATTTGGAAATGTATCTAAATGCACATTTTTATTAAGATAAAAAACAAACAAAAAAAAAAAATGAACAATTTTTTTCCAAGCTTCTATTTAGGTCAATAGCATGAAGTTTGTCAGTGCTAGCTCTAAGTCTTCACCCTTTGGTCGCAACGGTGACATCAGTTCTATATACGCGAAGAGAGTGAGAGATAGTGTGTTGCAGAGATGACTCATTGTAAATCCTTCTCTAACCTACTACTTCGACAATGGACTGCTCTTATTTATAAATATAGCAAGTAGCCACATTAGAGCAGGATTTGAGCAGTATAAAGTTCTATATATGAATATTTAATAAACCTCTTCTTCTTTGTTTTCCCTACCTGGTCTTCTGTTCCGGCGATACTCTGTCTAAATGCGGCCTTCCTAATTCTCGGCTATTTTGAACAAAGATAACATTACAACAGAAAGAGATAGACAGAGTGAGTCACTCTCAGTGAACGAGAAAGAGAGAGAGAGAGAGAGAGAGAGAGAGAGAGAGAGAGAGAAAGAGAAGAGTAAATTATGTTTTACAAGCAAATAAAGAGGCGTTTTGCTTAATTTTTTCATTCAAAATCACCACGAAAGATACAGAACCTGTCTCGTTTGACATTGCTTCCTAAGTTCTGGGTATTGACGATAAATTGCATCGAGCAGCAAGGCCTCTGACCGAGAGGTCTTGAGGAGCGTGGAACCACCTCCTAATAGTCGTTGTTCCCAGGTCCACCCTGACCCAGAGTGGTAGCACCTGTTAGGGTCCCAGCTATGGGCAAATAGTGAGCGCAGATAAAACGTAGAGAGATGGATGTTCAGTTGACTGAATTTATAGGGGAGAATGTTTAATTGACAATACATAGAAGTCAGGATGTTCGATTTACAAGACATAGAGAAGAAGATGTTCAGCTGTGAATACTTACAGGGGAGTATATTCAGTTGGCTAAAGTAAAAGAGGAAGATATCCAATTGACAGTACTTGGAAGGAAGGATGTTATATTGAAAAAATATTACTGGGAAGGATATTCAATTGAAAATAGAGAACATATTTAATTGAAAAGACTTAGAGCGGAGCATGTCCAATTGAGAATGTTTAGCAGGAAAATATTCAATTGACAAAACTTGAATGGATAATGCTAAACTAAAAGACTTAAAAGGGAACGTGTTCAATTGAGAATATCTAGAAGATATTCAATTGTCAATACTTAGAAGGGAAGATGGCCATTTAAAAGACTTAGATGGGGGATGTTCAGTTGCCAATACTTAGAAGGAAAGATGGCCATTTAAAAGACTTAGAGGGGGTTCTTCAATTGACAATAGTTAGAAGGGAAGATGGTCATTTTAAAGGCTTAGACGGGGATGTTCAATTGCCCATACTTTGAAGGGGAGATGGCCATTTAAAAGACTTAGAGCGGGGATGTTCAATTGCCAATACTTAGAGGAGATTAAACTGATATTCAACTGAGAGTATTTCGAGGGGAGGATGCTTAATTGAGAATATTTAGAAGAGGGATATTCAACTGAGAATATTTCGAGAGGAGGATGCTTAATTGAGAATATTGAGAAGGGGGATATTCAACTGAGAGTATTTCGAGAGGAGGATGCTTAATTGAGAATATTGAGAAGGGGGATATTCAACTGAGAGTATTTCGAGGGGAGGATGCTTAATTGAGAATATTTAGAAGGGTGATATTCAACTGAGAGTATTTCGAGAGGAGGATGCTTAATTGAGAATATTTAGAATGGTGATATTCAACTGAGAGTATTTCGAGAGGAGGAT